AAGTGTTTTTCACATGGAATGGATATATATATATATATATATATATATATATATATATATATATATATATATATATATATATATATATATATAAGGAAGGAAGACCGCTGTGATCATGGCAGTTTATTCAATGATCCCAATTTCAGTCAATTCTTAATATTTCGTTTCATTTTTCTTTTAATAAACATTTTTAACATTGCAATTCTCCCATTGCTTGTTCCATATTTCAAACAACACATTCGCATTGAATACTCTAATTAGAAAAGAAAATGCTTTAAACAATCTAGTTTACCAGTCTAGAATATATGCAATTTTCAATTTCTGAAATAACTGACAAAAATTACTAAACACTTCCATGTTATTCTAAATTTTCAGATATATCTGCATTTACACTGATTGCACCAACAATACCATCGGTCTGTGCAACAAAGCTTTCATCAAGTGATTACACTGGGTCCACGCAATAATTTGGCACCATGGCGTCATTACCTAAGATGCTCCAACAAGAACTCGTGATATTCCTAAAGTTAGTTTTTTTTTTATTCCTGACATCGGGAGAGTACCAGGTCTCTACCACATTTCTGGAATGTGTGTTTAGTTCGACCTTTCGAGAACAGAACAGAAGTGACACCCGAGCGTTTGACTATAACAGGTTGCGCATTAGTCTTATTATCAATATTATCAATATTTATAACACTCCTGTGTCGGCATTCATTATTAATCTTGAATCTTGTATCATTTGAATCAATTACAAGACAAGCATTGAATTAAACCTAGCGGATTTATACGTATCATTAAACTTGAAGGAAGGGCTATCATTAAAAGAAAAGAAAACCTACTTGATTGACAATCCGAAAGCAGTAACATCCTGCCGAATGTACAGCGATTGAACATAGAACGACCGCTAAACATACTACTGCTACCCCAGAAATATCCGTATTACAAAGTAAGACGTAAAAAAAGAACTCACTGCACTTGTCCTTCGATATTTTAGTAACTAGCTTAATTCTGATGAAGTCGAATCTACCTCGCCAAAACGTCTGTTCGCCCAACGTGAGCACTATAACTCTCCATGCCAATCCTAGCGTTACTAGAGGCATAGCCTCTTTTTGGCAAAGGAATAAAAGTTGAATGATTTGTACAAATATTTTCCTTATCAGTTGAATACTTTATGATAGTAATAGTATTAGTAGTAGTAGAAGCTATGTGTTAGGCAGACTACTCTGTTTTGTATAGGGCCACAGTATATTCACGATAAACGTTAGTGCTTAGATTTCTCGAAGAAGTTGGACTATATTTGTTTCGTTATTTTCTTTTCGAGAGGGGGAGTTGTCATTTCAACCGCAAACGGCTGATGTGACCTTCATTTATTCGGATTATTAGTCAAGACACGAGAAGTCAGGGTGTCCTTCTGTCAACCCTTAGTTGTGTGGTGAAAGCATCCCACACCTTTTGACGCGTATCTATGCAAAACCGAACGGAACTGCCTCGGTTGCAACTTGAACGCTATCCCACCATTGAACCACACACACATCCACCAAGTTTTATTAGATTGTAATTGATATTTCTGTACATAAGTTTCTGTTTACTTCTGCACGAGGAAAAGCACAAACGATATTATATATTATTATATTATTCAAATATCCATCAAGTATATGCATCTGCATGCATGATTTTGAGCCTTCAGTGTTTTATATATATATATATATATATATATATATATATATATATATATATATATAGATAGATAGATAGATAGATAGATATGCATTGTAACAAAATATACTTGTTCTAATAATTGGATTTATTTATTTATCTAGGATTCTGCTGCTTTCAATCTGAGACATCAAGGTTTGCCGCCAGCAACATTTCTTTATATTCAAATCTCTTATCCAGCATTTATTCAGAACACAAGCAGTTACTCAAATGTTCCAATTTTAGCACTCCTGCACATTTTTTTTTTATTAAATGCTTGTATCATGTATGCTTTTTTTAGCGTAGATGAACACTTTAATGCTGTGTTTTATACACATGATCGCGCATATATTCTAATTGCTGGTATTTTTTTTTCAAATGCAAATGTAGGCTACCTTGAAAAATCTCATATATACCTGAACTTTTCATAAGCACAATTTATTTTCAAAAAGTGTTTCTCACTTTGAAAACATCCATTATATTGTGTCATGGCCAAAGTATTCCATGGTGTCTTCTGTTACCTTCTTTTTCGCTATTTCAGATTTTTATCAGAATTCCACTTACACGTTATGCATAAGTGTTTTATTTTTCTGATAAGAATCTGACAGTCTCAAATTACTTCATTACACATATGTTCATGGTTCTGTTCGTGGTTGAAGCTCCATACCAGTCAGTGGTCATAAATGAATCATAACACAGATATTTAATATAGTTTGGTATCGTCAGGAATTAAACAGATAGCCTTAAAAATAAGTGTACTTAGATTTATCTTCATTAATTGTAATTAAAATAAAACTGAAAGAGAGAGGAACTTACGTATTCTACGGAATATGAAACCTATTTTTTAATGATATCACGGAAAGGCGATATTTGTTACCATCATCACTAAAAGACTGGTATTTACTTGTCTCCTACTTACCACTACCTATCACTGGCTTGTTAGTCATCTTATTCTGCTGTTTATTCATGTGACCAGATTATGTACTTGCTTTCATTTGACCAAGTGGTAAACTGCAGTGAACTTTCGAATACACATTTATATCATCTTGAGTAGGCTGTTTAAGTTATTATAAGTTACCCACCTCATTTTATATATTACACTATACACATGGGTATTTTATTTCCGGAATTATATAATTAGAAAAAGAAATTCTTATAAATACAGTGCTTTCACAGATTATTCCACCTTGTAAATATCGTTAATTATTAAAAATTAAGGAGATTCGTAAATGGATATTTAATCGCATCATCTGGCAATAATATGGGGTAGAAAAATATTTATTTATTTGATTGTGTGTATGTGAGCGTTTAAATACATACACACACACATATATATATATATATATATATATATATATATATATATATATATATATATATACACACACACACAGAAACATATATATATATATATATATATATATATATATATATATATACACACACATAAACACATATATATATATTTATATATATATATATACACACACACACACACACACAAACACACACACACACATATATATATATATATATATATATATATATATATTGCTAATTAATAGTCATATTTTTCTGCGTAGTTTATTTTGAAGTAAAACATGAGTGTAAATAATGAGTGTGAAATTTTCAAATTGAATATAATTCTGCTTTATAGAAAAGTGGAAATAGCTGTAGAAATTGCAGAAATGATTGGCAAGCTTTAACCAAACATAAGGTTCTTTAAGGAAACTGGGCCATACCGAATCAGGTCTGATCCGGTTAAGATGAGTAATTCATCACGACCCACATTGACCTGTTTTAAAAGAAAATTCTATATTTAAAAAAAAAATCTCTATTCTCTGTGAAATATTAAGCCGTTGCTCTTACGAGAAATTGTCGAAAATATCCGGTTCTAAATCTACTGGCAAAAAACTACTTTGAAAGACAACCGAAAGGAAAATCTAATGAAATGCATAAAAACAAATATGAACACTGATTTGCCAACGATTCTTTTCGTTGCGGAATGGGGTTTTGCTCTAGTAGGTGGATGGATTAAATTGGTGTTCATACCGATGTCAACCCCCTTTGCACATTGATAAACCAAGGCAGGAGCCGTGTGATACTTCGGGTGAGATTATAATTAGAGAAGAGGAAGGTCCATGCCAAATTCCAGATGGCGTTAATATGACATCTCAGACAGAAATTGATTTTTTTGAAAGCACACGGGCAGCTGTGATTAATTAAAAAGTGAAACACTTTCATAAAGATAACGACATTTTTTTTTTCTGCCAGCCAATGTTCCATCACTTTCGACAAAGGAAACTAATGAATATATGAATAAAATAGAGTTCACAAGTGCTCGTTTGGTGATGAGGCCGACACGTTTCCCCGGGTTTTAACGAGATTGAAACCTTGTGAAATGATGAGGTCGATTTTGCATTGCCGAACGACAATTTATCAATGAAGATGAACTTTTGAATGCTCTTCTTGATACAGTCAAGTCTGCTTAATATGAAAATGACAACAAGTCCCAAATTAATACAGAATAAACCTTTAAAACTAGACTCAGATAGAGTATGATATTTACGCCAGGAAATACCAAACTCTGTTTATTTTAATGTCAATGAATAATATTTAATCTGTGAGAAGTTGACCTCAAAACTGGAATTACCCCCAGATAATGCGAGTATAGCCATTACAGGCAATATCAAAATTACTCATCAAAGGAGCCAGGTTTGTTTGACCTGAAATGTGGAATTGCGGCAACCGGGGCAGATCAGCCCGGCATCTGAGCAATGGTCGACTGGGATAGAAACATGGAAAAACAAATAAATTTATGATCCAGGGGTAGCAGGGCAGAGAAGATGAATCTACATTCGTAGAAGCCGGAGAAAACAAAACATCGACTCGCCGACATTATATTCACTAATTCTGGAGATAAAGAAAAAATAATCCTATCTGCGATATTTTTAGCCTCGTGTGTTCATTATTCGGACGAGGACGAAAATTTTTCTTCGAAAATTTCAATATAATTTTGTTTTTATAATTTTATCATCATTATTATTTCATTTTTATCTATTTTTTTTCAAGCCATTTGTAATTATTTTAAAAAGAACAATAACTTACAGTATAATATTTACTGGATTTTCAATAACCTGACCAACAATACGAAATATAAATCCAGTATAATTCAGAAATGTGTTTCCATTTCTAACATTGTTATGCGGGTCACTGCGCTCATGTGAATTATCCATTATATTAGTGGGGCAAATATTTCTCTGGGTCCCTTGATAACTATTATAAATATTATTGAAATTAAAAGTATGGCTAATATTATAAAATACAGTATAAATATCTATCTATCTATCTATCTATCTATCTCACTCTGTTCATATCTATCTATCTATCTATTTATCTATCTATCCGTATATGTGCCTCTGTGTGTTTTCGAGTGAGTGAGAGAGAGTTTGTGTGAGAGAAAGAGAGAGTGTGTGTGTGTTATTTTCAATATTGTTACGACTGTCGACCACGACTAACGTTTCTTACTCGTTAGACACGCAATCGTCAAACAGCCAGGGACCGACATTGGCATATACGGCCCGCTCTTCTAACTCAAGATGTAATACCATGAATGCCCTATATAAACAAATAGTGCATTCAAAAAGAAATTTACCGAGGGCAAACCACCCATAGGGAACAGTTTGGTACAACCATTATTATAAGAATGTCAAACATGTTAAAACCAATTTCAAGTGGAGGAAACGGACATCACCAAAACAAAGAATATAGGTTCTGTAAGACATCGATACAGTAGCAATTATTCAAAAAAGTGCTGAAAAGTATTGGGATATATAGTTTTATACATAAAATCACTCCTGAAACGTTCTATAAAAAACACGCAGGGAATATTGCTTTCTATGTCAAATGGTAGGAACAGAATATTATTTTCGGCTGAGATTAAAATTTCCTAAGCTTTATGGGTAATCGATGAATTTGAACTGCGATTGTTTTCTTAAGTATGTAAAGTAAAATCTCTCAACGGATGAAAGAAAACTGTAAGCAATAAGAATGTAGTTATGCAAAAGGATACTGAGTATTCCATAGACAAATCGAGTAAGCAACCAGAAAGAAAATGGCGATAAGCTGAACACTTATGTTTAGAATAATTACTTGAAATTCCTTGGACACATAATGAGGAAGGAAATCTTCGAAATCTTAACCTTCACAAGAGAAATAGGGAAAGTCTTCGAGCCAAATACATGATGAGCTTGTGCGAACAGATGGCGTAAATGGGGATGGGAGACTTAGCAAAACGAGAAAACTAATAAGGGCCACACGGGAGAGAACATTTGGTGAGCCACGATCGCCCATGAAATGAACGGACGCGACACGTAGTAGTACTAGTAGCATCAGTAGTAGTAGTAGTAGTAGTAGTAATAGTAGTAGTAGTAGTAGTAGTAATAGTAGTAGTTTTAGAAGAAAAAGAAGAAGAAGAAGAAGAAGAAGAAGAAGAAGATGGATGACGACTAAAGTTTGATGTAAATGGATTCTATGAGCTTTGGTTTTTGATTTTGTTGACTATATAAAGCATTCTAATTGTCAGGCAACCATGTGCAGCATTGTGTCTTCCTCAACAAGACAAAAAAGAAAAAGCCGACTAGTAATGAATCAAATATCATGTTTGATATATTGATTAGTACAAATAATATTCACATATTTTCTACGAGACACAGAGTAGAGATTATAAAAGTTAAAATGATATATATATATATATATATATATATATATACTATATATATATATATATATATATATATATATATATATATATATATATATATATATATATATAATTGAAAAAACACATAGAATCAATCAGAAATATTAATTGACATCCATCGCTAGTAGTATAATGTATGCATTAAAATACTGTTAATCCATAGAGTGAAGTGATCCTCGTATATATATATATATATATATATACAGAAACAATTGCATAAGTATAAGACAATATCAATTTCACTGTAGCTGCGCATTTCAACCAAATGAACACTAGTATTGATAACTTTAAATGAGCCCTTTCAATGTCTGCATGTAAGTGCCGAAAAGAACACCAGAAATCTGAGTTAAATTACATTTCTAACATAAGGTAAGACATGCAAGGTTGAAGTAACAATTGAGGCAAACTCAATGAATGCACTTTCCACAAAAAAGCCTTATACAAACTCTATACAACCTTAATCAAGGCAAATAATTCTCACAAAACTACTAGATCTTATCAGCAAAATAACACAAGCGGTGACCACTCTTTTTCAAAAATAATTCAAGCAGCAGGAACCAACTATATATAATTTAAATAATGTATATGAAAATAGTATGTATTATAAAGCCTGTCATCGCATATTTTCAAATTAATGTTCGTTATGATCCAGACATTGCTGACAACGAGAGGCTATGAAATCACCAGCTGCAATCAACATTTTCTAGATATTTGACAGCATTCTTGCTCTATAAATATTTTCACTTCAGCGATTTGTAGCGTAGACTTTAACTTTTAAGTATCCCCACAAGCAAAATTATAACGAGGTGATGTCTCGTGAAGGGGGGTACACTGTAAACTTATGTTTAACTTTTTGAGACATTTACACACACATACACACACTCACACACGTATATATATATATATATATATATATATATATATATATATATATATATATATATATATGACGTTACACATTGAATACACACCTTTGAGTTTCATACTTTCTCCGCTCTGCTCGTACATTTAGCAATATTTACTCATTTAGTTATATATATATATATATATATATATATATATATATATATATATATATATATATATATATATGTATATGTGTGTGTGTGTGTGCGTGTGTGTGTGTGTGTGTGTGCGTGTTGCTTGAGTGTGGAAAGACATAGTCTCAAAAAAAGGGATCTTTCAGATCCTGACAAGAATAAACGAATATGAGGCAAAACTAAACATTTTACAGGGAATAATTTGTAATATTACACATTGGAGTAGGCAGACTATAGTGCGAAATTAGGTTGGCTATTACGAGACGGTGCATTTAATGACATGCTTTGGCACTGTCACTGCTCGTACGAACAGTTATGCCCAGCATGCATAGCGTTTACAAGTTGAAGGTTCTTCTCCCGAGGTGAATAACTCACTGCTTTCAACCTGTGCAAAAGACATAATTATTCATTAGTGTCTATCTCTCACTACGCCCCACTTGCCTACATTTCTTGGTCTGCTCACGATGTCGTTGCCAGTGGACAAGTTCGTGTTCTGGTGAGATCGCGGCGCCGTTGCAATAGGGCATGGAGTTGGTAGGTGGGGTTAATACTGGCGGTTAGACTCTTTGTGGGAGATCTGAATCGTTGACGCTGGTAAATATGGAGCAGAACTAATGAGTTGAATGGCGGTTAACGTGCTTAAAGGCTTGCTAACTTCCTGCTGGTGTTCGATTGACTTGATGATTTATATAAAAGGTTACGAGGGAAAACGACTCAGATAGATATGTAAATTTACTGAAGTGTAATTGTGCGAACACACGCACACATATGTCTACGTGTGTATGCGATGAAGTGTTGAAAAATTCTCGGCGTGAAGCAAAATAATGCTTAAAAGTGCTGACGTTTGATTAATTATTGTGAGTTAGTTGGTTCGGAAGAGAATCTTTGAGCAGTTACTCCTTCCCCACCCATATATATATATATATATATATATATATATATATATATATATATATATATTAAATTAATTGATTTAAAATGTTTTTTCGCTACACAGTTCTAACCATGTTTCAAAAATGGAAGCTAAAAGCTCCGAATTTAATTTTGTAATTAAATTAAAGACCAATAATGGAAATAATGTCTGTAATTTAATTACAAAATTAAATTCGCAGCATTTAGCTTCCATTTTTGAAACATGGTTAGAACTGTGTAGCGAAAAAACATATTTTAAATCAATCAGTTTATAATATTAATGCTCTGTAAATTTACATTGAGCACTATTTTGTTAAAATAAAAAATATCTATAAGAACACTGGATTATATATCTTACTGTTCTTTCTTTATATATATATATATATATATATATATGCATACATAGATACACATATATATGAGCTCTGGGGGAGAGATCGAATTTGTGTTCGTTTTTGTAGGGGAACATAATTTCGATTCCTGACACAGAGTACATGTTCTCTATTAAATTGCCCCGAATACGCAGGTCGAGATACGTAAAGCATATTGTTTAAAGTAAAATAAGTATGGGGAGTCTATTCCAAATATGAATATCTCTATAATAACGTCTAATGTAATGAAAATAAATTCCAATAGTAAATTGCCTTGTTTGCGTTTCGGGCAAAAACTGAGCAGTTATGAAACTTCGAGGAAAAAAGGGGAAATGTGCTTTTCTTTAAAAGGGAAAATAGAGTCTTCCTGTACAGTGAAGCACTTTGTAGCCGAGCTATAATGCACACTGACTCACACACACACACACACACACACACACACACACACACACACACACACATATATGTGTGTATGTATGCATGTATGTATGTTAATGTGAACGTGTGGGCTCCTCCATTAATTCGGCATACGTAAGGTTTAAAATAAATTATAATAAATGAAAAAGCTTTCTTGAAGCTTTCATTTTCCTTTAATTAAAAGCTAAAAGAGTTTAAATTAACTATTTCCCGTAAGCAAAATACTTTGTGTTGTTTTCCAAACATAACTTATATTGATAGGAATTGATTTATTCTTTTGTAAAATCGATAAGATCGGCCATTTTGACACATTTGTAAACAAAAGATAATTTTCGGTTTTAAAATCTTTCAAAAATAAAACATATATTTCTGAAAAGTTATTTGATGAAACTATCAAAATTCAATGTAAATTAATCTGATTTGGAACAAATGTTAATAACTTATAGATTAAAATTTTATATAAAAGCATGTCGTAACCACGTGATCTTGTTTTTCTGACGTATCGATCAATGTATCGACCGCCTAACGTGTTGACAAGTTAAGTATGGTGACGTACAATTGCCAGCAGACTGAAGTTTTTTTTTTCAAGAGATAGGAGAGCCCTTAAAACATATGTCCTTTTAATGATGCTATACAAAAACTCGCATACTTAGAAAAATTTAGACATTTAAACAATAAAAAGAAATTCTTTTAAAAAATATTGCCGTAGATTGTCAAAAGCATTAAAATATATGATTAGCAAATATAGTTTTACTAAATAACAACATTTTATTTAATATTAACAAATTTTGAATAATGAAATCAAACCTTGTAAAAATTGATTTATCATCAAACCCTTTCATCAGAAAATATTGTTTTTAATACATATTCATAAAAGTAATTAAAATCTTGTTATTATGGCCTTTTTAACTTTCTTATTCGGAACAGATTTTGCGTAAGACGGGATTCGATTTTTCTAAATAAATTCAGGGATTAAGATTCTTCAAAGTATTCTGCTTTTAACTAATATAGTCACTAATAATTTTCACGTTCAATTTCTAAAGTCTTCATAAAATTAAGTGAGTGAGTGAAACACATTAAAAAATATTTTATCAATATTTTAAATAAAAACAATTCGAAAATAATTTTATTCATTTGTGAAAAAGTCATGAAAATTTCATTAAAATCTGACAATTATTTGATTTTTTCAAGATTTCCAAATTGTTTGTTGCTGCAAAATGTGTTTTAATTAAAATTTCGTATGGTATAATAGAGCAAAAACTTTCATTAGAAATTAAAAATAGTTTGATCCTTCCTCTTAAAAATAACATAAAGATTTTGACGATAAAACTATGTTTACATTGTGTTATATATATATATATATATATATAGATAGATAGATAGATAGATAGATAGATAGATAGATAGATGGATAGATAAAATTTCACAAAATATATGAAAGAGTTTAAAAAACTATCGATAGCTATAAACTATGGGTATTGCATCAAGAATCATAGTTACTCTCTGTCTGTCTCTATTTCTCTTTCTCTCTCTCTCTCTCTCTCTCTCTCTCTCTCTCTATATATATATATATATATATATATATATATATATATATAGATGGTGTAGTTTCACGTCTTAATCGATGTATGAGTGTGAAATAGCTCCGTTCTAGGAGCCAGCAGCCAGACACTAGCACATGATTTGATTATAGTAGTGAAAGATTTGTGTAGATCCAACAACACATTTTGAAGGGCCGAATACAGAGACCTGGTTAACTACGTGCTACAAGTTTCCCAAACATCTTTCCGCAGGTTTTGAATTCAGAGTTGTTGTTCTTCTAGACCAATTGCCATCCAAGTCTATAGATGCTATTTACATGGAGGAAGAAGAAGAGAATTAAAACCTTTCCCAAAGGGATTAGCACTTAAATGAATCTATTCAACTGTAATCCGAGCCGCTATCCACTACTATATATATATATATATATATATATATATATATATATATATATATATATATATAAGAGGAACCCGGGTGAGGCTCCGCCGAAGGGCAGAGTCTCGTTCGGGATGGTTGACTGCCCCTGAAACCCGTTTATGCGGGTTCAAAGAGGGAATATTTTGGCCGAGCCTACGGGCTGGAAATCCCATGTTAAAATACATTTTGTGCCATATGTAACCCTCGTGGGGGTAGCTAAATATCACTACTATATATATGCGTTTGTGTGTGTGTTTGCGAATAATTTTAGGCAAATCTGTGAAAAGAGGTAATTTGGTTTTGTGTGACGCGTTTAGGACGAACTAAACTGGTGTTAACGTTTTTCCGATTACATATATGTATATTTATATCCATGTGTCTCTGAAGAAGGGTAAAAATGATGAGTTGTGTTTCATTATTAATCATATACTTGTTCGGATATTGAATACATTCTATTCTTTATGCGAACATCCTATAATTTTTACTAACAGTATACAATATACTGGCTACAATTTCCCGGTTGTGCAAAGAGTAAAACATATCAAATAGAAAATATCATTTTTAATACATTCACAGCATCGTTTAATATATTTGTTATTTCATTTTCACCACCATTTGTTGGTTGGTTGCTTGCTTGCTTTTGATTAGTAGCATATCAACACTATGAGTTATTTACTGCTGTAATATTTTGGACGCAATTTAATGCGTCCAACACATTTCAGGTTATTATTTAATACCTAACTACCGAAATATTACTATTTAACCCATAACCGTGGGAAGATGTGGATTCATACCTTTCACAAATGTATTTGCGCATAACGGAATATAATGAACTGGAATTTGGCTCTCCGATTTACAATTCCGAGCCATTAAACTTTACACCACACGCACATCCAAGCCCACAGCATCTGTTATTCCCGAGCAGTCATCGATTTAGTTACTGACCAGTGTCGATTTTTCATAATTTTAAAGAGGACCGGTGTTTCAACGTGATGTGACACTAAGCCGATCACCATTTTTAATACAACTTCCGGGAAGTTCTAACTTCCTCTCTTTGCTAAGAAAAAATTCCAGATATAATTGGCGCTACTGAGAAACGTAAACTACAGCACGCTGAAATCTATATTATTTTTCTTTCCGTGTCTATCCAACGAATTAATATCTTCCGTTTTAATATATTTTCTCTCTCAACATCGTCGATTTTCATCACAAAGTAAAAGCAGTATACGTAATTTTGAAATGATATTCCTGACTCTCTCTCTCTCTCCCTCTCTCTCTCTCCCTATCTCTCTTTTAGAGTTTTGCTCTGGAAATCTTGAATTTTCTCTTCTTTTTCTAGTTTTCAAGCTCTTTACCTTCAAAAATAAATAAGAAATGCCGGATTTTAATCGTCCGGAATGTTGTCGGAAAAGCAAACAGCATATTGTATATTCCAGGCCCTCTTTCTTTCCTCAGTATTTCTCCAAGAAATTTTGACTCTTTCCGATGTTAAGTATGACTGCCCTTTTCTTTCAATTTTCTCTAAAATTTCGTTCAGTCCATTGTATTCTCAGCATTTTTTTGTAGAAGGAAATTCATGTTGCATCCAGTCTCTATTTCATAAGTGGGGAGATTGTCTACCATTTACTTGCATAATGGAGTACTGATATTACGTAACAGTTCAGTACTCTTTTCTTTATTTCAGATGAAACGTCCATGTCTCTTAATACTTTGCTTAGCTTTTTCAAGGCTTCTTTCACTATTCCAAAACGCTTCCGGGTTGCACAATATGTCCTCCGTTAAGACTACCTAGATATTTAAATTGTTGTACTTGCTGGATTTTGGTATCTCCGGTTAGTAATTTACATGTTGCGTTCTTATTTTTGCTAGCAACAATAAATTCTGTCTTCTTGATTTAGATAATTCAGCTTTCCTTCATAAATGACATCAATTAGCAAAAATAGCTTCTCAAATCGCTTTCTTAGTATATATTCTTTAAATCTGTTTACTTACTTGTGCGGGATAATGTTCATGATTCTATATGTGATGTATAGATTTTCCTTAAAACTAAATGGGTACTAGGCAGAGCAAACGATTTGAATGTTATTATAGCCACCGAAAACACAGTGATCATAGTTTTGCCTGTTACATCAGTGTATTGTTATATTATCTGTTTGTAATTATTTTGTTCATATCTCTCGAAAATTGCTTCTTTCATTCTTTTCTAGGCCTCAGAATTCCAGATCAACGAATAATTCCAGAATCCAAACAAGTAAATCGTTGTGAATGAATCTGTAAACGACTGATTATCTCAAAAATTTGTCCTATTCCCCATTCTCTGTCTTTCTCTTTCTTTGCGTCTCTATACTTTCACAGTTTCTTTAAATTATTGTCATTTCATTGTTGCTGTAACGGGTAATTATTTGCCCGTATATCTGTGTCTCCGTTTTCTTATTTTTTTATATTCTTGTAGTTCTTTCCAGTGAATTCTCTTCTTCCGACTGCCGCTGCCCGATCCCTGCAACCAATATTAATTATTTAATAAGTCCGCTTGCATAGTTAAGATGTATTGCGCCTTTCTGTATAGGAAATTGTTTTAAGTTGCGAAATTATAGTCATTATCTGGCAACTGGGAAGTACAAGACCTGTAAACTGACAGTGTTCTTGCAACAAAAAAGTAAAAAAAATAACTTACAAACCAGAACACAACTGTAGAAGTGGGCGTTGGCACACACAGATAGGCCTGAACAAATCTTCCAATTGTGCACTTTGGTGTAATTAAGAGATGGAGAGTGAGAATGTGCAGTTAAGATTACCAAATTTCTCTCTTTTTTTAAAAAATATACATACAGTATTTATGGAGTCTTTTCGTTTTGTTTAAATTTATCCACATATTTTATACAAACACACACATATTTATCATATATATAAAATTATATATATATATATATATATATATATATATATATATATATATATATATATATATATATATATATATATATATATATATATATATATATATATATATACATATATAGATAAATATACTCGTTTCGAAAAACCCTCGAATTTTGATTTGCCAATAATCAAATCAATCTCGAGGGAAAAAAGGTTTTAAAAAAAAGAAAGAGCTAGAAACATGAAAGTCTGTCGAAAAAAAATCGCACAGATACAGGTTTGAAGCCCCCCCAAAAAAAAACGATACGAGTAAACAACTAACAAACAAAAGAGCTCAATACAACCGTAGAGCAGACCTAGATACACCTAGTGAGCCAGACAAACCTACCTAGGTTTCACCTAAACAGATCGTCAGGTAAAGTCGGCTTTCCTGACAATCCGTTTAGGTGAAACCTAGGTAGGTTTGTCTCTTCACTAGCTATCTATATCTATATCTTTATCTATATTTATATCTATATCTATCTATCTATCTATATATATATATATATATATATATATATATATATATATATATATATATATATACCCACATTTGTGTCTATATGTGAACCAAGAAGAAAGAAGTAACAAATATGGGTGGGTCTTTCCAAAAATGCTTACAACCGCTTTTGAGCGCAATTTCTTTTACAGTTGTTTGCGCTTTTTCTATTGGAAATATATGTTTATATGTTGCCATGCATTGCTACGGAATATTTTTAAAGGATTATGTGCATTACTACAGGATCAAAGACAAAGACCCTTAACTATTTGCTAAAGAAATCCGGCCTTTCTCATTTCATTTTGCGGAGAGACAGAAACCGAAAACTAGGAAAAATTCGCATCAGATAAAGAAAATCTAGACTGTCAGAGCAACAGTCTAAGGGAGAATGTCAGATATCCCATTTCCCAAAGATATATATTGCTTTCACTACGATTTATATAAAACGCCTCTGGCGTGTGAGAAAACTGATAGAAACAGTAAATATACATTTGGTGGCTAGTTACGTAAATCAAATAAATACAGATTTCACTGTGGTGTGGCATTTGTTTCTCAAAAGGGAAATATTACCTGATATTTTTTCAGCAAAGAAAGTATCTAAGAACTTGCAAGAGAGCCGTATTAAAAATGGTGGTAAAAATCAAATGACCAAAAATAACAAGCATGGTTGCGAATGTATTTTGTTTTCTCTTTGCTACTATTTCAGACTTTACTCAACTGTGAAGAAGAACACAGTTACTTGTATACGGATAATACAACTAGAATATATCGGCGTATAGTTAGATCGAAGAAATAAGGAGAGCTCTTAAAAAAGACACAAATAACGTGTATTCATTCATCCAATCAGATATATGAACGATAACACCAGTTCGCAATGTATAAACAGTTTCATAGGCAGAAAATTTCACCCACACACATAGACACTCGTGAGCACAAAAACACACACATAAATGTCCCATGCACACGGATATATACATATATATATATATGTGTGTGTGTGTGTGTGTGTGTGTGTGTGGGTGTGCATGTATGTATGTATGGAGAGTCAGAGAAAGACAGAATAAAGGCAGTGCTGTTTTATAGATAAAAGAATAAGCAATATATGATGATTGTCAGTTTCATTTTCCTATTAGATTCTCACCAATATATAAAAATATATTCGGACTGAACGGTATTGAGCACTTTTGCATAAATAAATTTTATATATATATATATATATATATATATATATATATATATATATATATATATATATATATTTATAAATGAACATTGAAGTTAAACTCAAAGACGACAGGCTGTTTTATGCCAATTGGTCCAACGATATTTTAGCATTGCAGTTTCATCTCTGAAGAATATGGCCTCCTGGTTCTATAAAAAAAAAGCTCCACAGTACATATGATTCCATCGCCTTTTCCAAATAAGACAAAGTTTGGAGAGTAATAGCGATGTGGTAGAAATTCAAATCCACAGTTAGCCCACTTCGTATACTGCAAACTTATGCGTTATTCCGAAGCAAGAGAATGCATGTCTTCAACTTCACCGTGCGTTTCGACTTGATTGATTCCGTCAGTTGTCTTATTCTGATGCATGTCATTGTCCATTAATAGTGATTCCCCTTTTCAGGTATTCTATCATGACACTACGCCTTCAGAATATATAAAAAAAGAAGCCATCCTCTTGCCAACTGGCGTTTCTCGCTTGAACCTCTTCGGAGTGAAGAACCAGAGTGTTTCATTTGAATCTTTGATTCAGTTTCGAAGTCATAAACCCAGATTTCATCTTGAGTTACTAATCTGCGAGGGAATTTCTCTGAGTCAGCATAGAATCGAGTAAGAAGTGTCCTGGAATCGTTAACTATCGGCATTTCTTGAGACCTATCTTATAAACAGCTTGTTCAGCCCCAAGCTCTCATTTAAAACAGTATGGATCGAACCAGTACTAATCCCTTACTTGACTGTAAGACGTCTGTCATCTAAAATATTAATGTGAATGGCATGACTTGTTCAAAAGTGGTTGAGGTTTTTAGACAACCTAACAGAAGGTCATATTTTGCCTCGGCTCCACTTAAATTATTCTGCCCATTTCTTCAGTTGCATAGGAAAGGGAGTCTAATGCAAGTGTCATACCTTTTTTTGAACTCTGTCTGTTTAGGCTTCTATTTTGTTCCTTTTTAGACGTGTCGCACATTGACACTTTTGTATGGACCTCACCTGTACAGAAATTAAGACAGCCACCCGAATTAGTTTTTCTCGCTTGAAAAAAAAGAAGGAAAAATGTTCAGCTATATTTCCTCTTCTGGTTGAGTGTTAGAACTTTTTGAAATACTCTCGTATCTATGTGTGTATTCGTGTATGTGTATGTTCGCGTAATTATAGTTATATAAACTTAAATACCTATTAGAATAGTTTTCACTATTATTTTATATAATGTATCAAGTTATTCGGGCACAAACGGGGTGAAGAGACTGCTTCACTTGAGGAATTGGAACAGCAGCACAAAATAAAACAGATAGGATATGTAACTCAAGGTGAAGGAAAAGACCGAAAATCATGGTGACGCTCGACTTTACTTCAAACCAAAAGGTTAGTTAGGAAACCCCATGAATATTGGAAATAGCGATAACAGTTAGCGCACTTGAAAAACTGATTTGCCTGAAAAATATTTTAAAAGAAAGAATTTACAAAATTCAACCGACACCTTAATTCACTTTCCATAATGTAGAATTTTCACTGTTTATGTTTCGGTTTTGCTGTATAAGAATTTAAGAATGTTGGTTTATTTTAAATGAGAATGAGAGATGTGGAATTAGAAATGAATCTCTCCCTCTCTCTAAACTTTCTTCTCTCTCTCTCTCTCTTTCTCTTTCTGTGTCTGTTTCAAAACAAGGGGAAAACTTGGAGTTAAGTGAAAAGCAAGAGCGTGTAGAAAAGAAGCAAAATAAGCAAGAATGGTTTGAGTTTCAAGCAGAAGAAGGCGGTCAAATCGTGTCTCTCCTTAGCCATGCTTGACATCCCAATTTTGAAGGAGGCTGTTTATCAGACGTTTTCACAGTAATTTCTTTTCAAATATTGCGATGTTGCTTCGTCAAGCGATGCGTTTGGCTGTGTTGATGTCGCTTCACGGTCAACAGTCGCGACAAATAAATTTCCATCGCTCACTCCTTTCTCTCACGTGTTCATTTTTTTTCTTTCCTTCCTTTCGTTTCCTTCTTTACTTTCTTGATTCCGATACGTATCTGTCTTGGAATTTTTATTGCTTTAATTCGGAGTTATATATATATATATATCTAGTCTCTTATACCTTTGTTACCTTTATCACTTTTTATATATTTCTTGCTACCCTTTCTTTCTTTATCCTTTTCTTTTATACATATATGTTTCTTTTTCCTACTTTGATTCTTGTATATTTGCATGTTTTACGCCATGTATGTTTTGTAGTTTTTACTTTCATCCAATTTTTTGTTTTTATCTTATTTTCCTCTAGTTTATTTTAAACTGTAAAATGTTACTACTATATTTTATTTGATTTTTTTTATATATCAGATATTCATACATTTCTTCGAACGTCTTTTTTTTATTTTCAATATCTCTTTTTCCCTATATGATCGGACAATTTCTAAAATTCTTTTTATCAAATATATCATATTAATATTATGCTTTATTTTCTTATATTTTTTTGTATCCGAATAGTACTTTGATTTCTTCTTTTGCCTTTTCTTTTCAAAGAAATGTTTTCCCATATTTGTCATTTATTTTTCTACTGTTTTATCTATTAGGCATTTTAATGCTATTTTTCAATATTGCCTGCTTTCATTTTGCTATATTTCTCATACTTGTCTCTTTTCTTTCCTTGTCACTTTAAAAAAAAAAACCCAAAAAACAAGAATATTCGTTTTATTTTCTTTATTGTCGTTTTCCATACTTTTGCATATTAAAAGGTTACGTAACTATTTAATATACTTACTTTTTTTCTTCTGTTCTCTGATCATCTTATTATCATTTCTTCTTTGTATACAGTTTGTTTCTTTGAAATATCTTTTCTTATCTTATTCCTTTCTTTTCCCTTCTTATGATTACTTCTTATTTTCCATTCTTTTATCTTACATTTTCTCTCCCTTTCTTGTCTTTTCTTTCTGATCGTCTTTCATACACCTTTGCCTTTTGCGACGTAGCTATTCATTTAATCTTTATTTAATTTTACTTTCCCCTCCACTCATTTTCAATCTCATTCCACTTTCCCTCTGTGCGGTTTCCTTCACCGCGGCAACACACAACAGACAATTTATTCTCCTAAAACAACACCACTGATGCAAAATATAGGAACCACGAAAGTTTGAACATTAGAGTTTTACTTATTTTGCCAAGCTCACACATTCAACTTTGCACACATAAATGGATATGCTGCTGTGAACCAGGCAACGAAATTAAACGAATATATCAATCCTTTTAAAGCAGCTTTATTTTACCTTAGAATGACTGATGTTAAACTCTAGGAGAGCAACTCTTCGCGCCTTAGTTGTTTCATGTTTGGAAGTGGAATGTTTATCTTGAAACAATTTCTAGGTCTTCTGCTAGAAAAGTCGGTTTACTCGTACGCGCTAGACAGTCTTTTCTCAACATAATCTATTCTGCATATTTATATGTCTACTATTTCTCCGTTTATCGAATATTGCTGCAAGGCTTAAGGACACGTCTCATTGAAACGCCGTTTCATGTACGATTAACGAAGTTAAGCATCATCGATCCCGGTTAATCGAAGATCCAATTTCTAATCTCACTTGGATTCATTATATTCATCTACGCGCAAATATCCTTGGGAAACGTATGCATCCACCACTTCTCCTTCCCTTGCTATGCGAGTAAAACTTGTATCACTAAAATAATTTTTAACTTAAAAAAGGTTTTACAATCTGAAAATACATTATGATTTTAAATAAGATGTAAATGGATGATAACCTGTAGAAAATGAATGAATCAACCAATCCGTTTTGCTGCCAGATATGGTCTGCTACATGTGTATTGTTTCTAGAGCTTCTCGGCAAAATATAAAGAAAATCCTGCAACGTTATCTGTCATTAGCTGTCATCTCAATTTCAGTTCTCCGCCATAAATTTACCTCTTCAATAAATAGTTTCATACTCATTTCTGGTCAGGAATTTAAACTTTACCTAGTAATAATGATTTTACTATTGTAATTAATATTTATAATATCAGTTAATTCTCTTCCGTTTCTCGTGTGCAGCATTCCCATACAGTTTCATACTTTCTTCTCAGCTACGATCTCCGGAAATTTACATTCACAATCACTTTCTGTCTCCTTGACACCTTTTCTTTTATTGTCTACTCTTTTTCGCTAACTATTAATAGCCGTTTGCAACTTAGATGAGGTGAAATTACTTTTTATAAAGTATAAACAGTTTCGGATGGGTAAATTGTCACCATTTCATATTTTAATTTCGCGATTGCACATTGTTTATTTTTTTTTTATTCTGTCTACGGCACATTATAGTAGGTTCACTTGGGCACGATCTGTCAGAAAAAGAACACCAATGCGAAATTTACTCCACGAGATATTTAGAAACGGCATTTTCTACTGCTTGGCTTTGGTGCTGGTAGCGCTAATGCGAACATTTAAGAGAAACAGACGTAGAATTTTGCAAACTACTCATGGAAGTGAAACTGCAAGTTATATATTCCAAGAAGAAGATAATCTCATAAACAGAAGTAATAAAATTACTTCGAACTGTCAGGACGCTGAAACATTCTTTTCGCAAAACGTGTAAAGAACAATAGATCTTGCGAGCGATATAAATATAATAGGTACACATTGACAGAAATCGCTAAACGTGGAATAGCGATGGCAATAGGAGAAGGCAAAAAAATTGTATCTCTATGAACATTTTATTTAACGGATTTATTGCAGAGAACTCTTAAATAAGAAAATAAGGGCAATTTGCAAATCCTCTCACCACAGACACACACACATAAACGCACAGAGACAGCCACACATACAGGAACACACACACACACACACACACACACACACATATATATATATATATATATATATATATATATATATATATATATATGGCAGTTAATATTTAAGAAACAGCCGATATTTTCATATACAATGCTGAATAATAAAATAATTAAAATAAATTAATATATATATATATATGTGTGTGTGTGAAAAGTGTGTGTATATAAAGATAACTATATATATATATATATATATATATATATATATTATGTTTGTATAATATTATATATATATATATATTATATACTCACATCAATCTAAACAAATATATATATATATATATATATATATATATATATATATATATATATGTTATAAAACATAGTTTTAAGTTATGCTTATTTATGAGTTAAACTTCTCAATATCAGAGACAGAAGAATGATCGTAACTATAAAAGTGGACATCAAAGTAAATACCCAATGGTGACAGTCTGCTTCAGGCTCAATTGCAGTCATCAGGCCATGCATGTTGTGTTTTGGTTCTACTATTTATATTTTGGCCAGTGATGCATAATGACTAAGTCTATTATATTATACGAAAGACTACCGCCAACGCAAAATAACGACAATAACAAAGCAATCCATAATAACCTTAACACACAGCACCATATCATAGCCATATCAACTGCATTCGGGTTCACAGTTATTTCCAACCCCTAGAACAATTTGAATCATAACCGTTAACACTCACTGAATGAGCGTAAGAATAATACAATAGACCTGCCCATAATGCATCAATGACCAACATATATCAACGTATATAAATAGTCGAGCCAAACAAAAACACTAAAAAAAAAACGCATATGGCTTGATGTTTGCATTTAAGTATGAAACAGTCTATCGCCGCTATATAAATTTATAATGTTCACCCATTACAAAGCCCAAAGAGAAATTTAGCATTGAGGGTTACTGAGGGAGCTTGTTGTCTTAATGGTAAGAAGTGCATTTCATGAGTATGTAGTATAATTTAAACAGATAAACGCTAGACGTGAAGAGAGAAAGTTGCGTTTCTGAGGAAGAATCTTGCCGAGTGAATCTTCCTTTTTACTATTGCAATGACAAGGGAATGGGAATACTTCGTTGATGTGTACGCGGCAGCAACGGTTATAGCTATGAAATTTAGAATTGGTGGAACTAAAAAATGTAAAACATTTATCATTAAAATAAGGACAGAGTTGCGAGAGGTGTGCAAATTTTCACCTGTGGGAAAGGGCTTGTATGGAGGAAAACAATTTGTCATCCACAAAACCACAAGACTTTTTGGGACTCTAACAAAACTTGTAATTTAGGAATAGGTAGCAATACTCCATTTTGCGTCTGATTTAGTGGTTGTTATGTTAGAGCATTAACAAAGGAGTTACGTAATTTCTGGTGCAGTAAAAAGAAACGATCATTTTTCCAGCATCTTCAGCGATGGATTGTATACGTTACTTGTCAATATGAACAAATGTTTACGCTAGAAAATGTATCATGAAAAATCTAATCAAGAAATGGACAATAAAATATTAAGAAACAAGAAAATTTCATTAAAAAAAAACAAGAAAAGAGTACTGAACTTTTATCTAATATGAAAACTTCTATATGTCAGTGAATAATAGACAACTGCTTCACAGATGATGACGAAGGGATATAAATGTGATTCTACGGAAGGTTTATGAGAATGCCAAGGAGAGAAGCAAAAAGAAACTTAACATCAGGTAGGGACAGTTGAAATTTAAGAAGAAGAATAAAGAAAGCGGGTTCAGAAAAGTTGAAACTGACGAGATAGAATAATGAAAACAATGCATACCCTACCTAACGCACTTGATTAAATGGATGGCTGAACGAAGTTTAGTAAAGGTAACAAAACGACAAAATATATTAATAACTACACGAATCATAAAATTGTGGAGAGCAACGTCCTAAAGAAACACGGTACATAGAAGAAGAAATATTAGACATAAGAATCTTTTGCATTATTTGAGAAAGTGTGTGTATATATAGAAGGATCACATCTGTTTTTCATGTTAAATTTTTATATTTTTTTGATAAAACAAATGATATATTTCTTCTTCACTTATCAGTTATATTGAATAATAATTAGTTTTCTTTTTGCTGCTGTTTTTCATCGTGTATCTGATTTACAAATATATTTTCTTACTCACTTTGGGTTTTTTTTTATCTTTAGTTACTTAACTTAGC